GGGGCGGGCAGGTGCGCTTTTCGAGGTGCGGTTTCCACTCAAGATCCCATGATGGTACTGTATTCGGTTGTTGTGGTGAAGTCGGACCAATAAAACCATGTGGTTGCAAATTTGGATGAGGTACCTTTTACTGAGCTTGTGAGGTCCTCCATGGTGCAAATATCGTTTATTTTAGCGAACCAGAGTTTGAGTGAGGGTGGCTCCTCCTGTTTCCAGAGTAGTGGAATACAGGCACGTGCAGCATTCAGTAAATGTATCAGCACCGAGCGTGAATACCCCTTTAAGGAGAAGTGATTATGGTGGAGGAGGAAGAATGCTGGGTCCTCCGGGATGTGATGGTCGGTACATTTCTGGGAAATCCTCCGTACCTGGGACCAGAAGGGAGTCAGTCTCGGGCAGGACCAAAACATATGGAGCATGTCTGCAGGGGAGGACCTGCACCTCCAACACACGTCAGGGATCTCGGTATACATCTGATGAAGTCTGTGGGGAGTTCTATACCAGCAGGTCAGAACCTTGTAACCTGATTCCTGGTATTTGTTACAAATTGACGACTTCAGGGATAGCCGCAGCAACCTGGTCTGTTCATCCTGTGAGAACTGGACCCCCAGCTCCCTCTTCCATTGTCCCATGAAGGGAAGCGGTGATACCTGGTCCGCCTCCAAGATTAGTTTGTAGCACCAGGATAAAGTCTTGGGGAAGGGTCCTACGTCCAGACAGGTGCGTTCAAAGTCCGATGGGACTCGGGCATACAGGGCTGGGTCAGGTAGTAAAGAGAGGAAGTAGGAGAGCTGAAGCTGGCGCCAGTAACCGGTCTCTCTCAGTGTCATGTCCAGTAAGAGGTCTCGTAGGGACTGCCACTGTGTACCTTGTAGGAGATGCATAGCCCGAAATCGACCCAAGGCCATGAGGCGGCAAAATAAGCCATGTAGAGCCCACCGTTGGGTGCTTCCTCAACTGTCCAGGGAGAGCTCCTGCACACCACGGTAGAGCCGGCAATGGAATTGAGGTGGCAGACTGCTCCAGAGCCACCCAGGGTTTGGTATCACTATGTTGGCACCAGTCTACCACGCGAGTCAAGTGGGATGCCATTTAGTAAAGGTATAGGTCTGGTAGAGCCAGTCCCCCTGCCTTTTTAGGGCGTCTTAGGATCGCCAGACTGAGTCTGGGGGTCTTACCTGCCCAAATGAATTGAGTAATCGCCTGTAGCGCGCGGAAATAGGAGCGAGGGATGAAGATGGGAAGGGCCTGAAAGGGGTACAAGAAGCGTGGAAGAATATTTTGTTTAACCACATTACAGCGGCCTGTCCAAGAAAATGTGTGTCGTGCCCATCCAACTAGGTCCGATCTGACCTTCTGAAGTAGGGGAGGGAAATTTAATACTGTATAATTGCGTCAGGTCTCGAGGAAGCCTTTCCCCTAGGTACTTAAGGGAGGTAGAGGACCATTGGTAAGGGAAGGTCTCCTGGATACTGGCTAACATCCGAGGGGGAACCGTCAAGTTCAGGGCTTCCGATTTTTGGGAATTGATGTGGAAGTTGGAAAGTTCGCCGAAGTGGCGAAGCGTTGACATTAGGTTTAGTATTGTGGTGACCGGGGACGACACAAAAAACAGCAGGTCATCTGCATATGCAGCAACTTTATGTTGGTGGGACCCCATGAAGATACCCCGAATGTCCGGGTTTGCCCGTACTGACCGTAGGAGTGGTTCGAGTGTCGGGGTGAAAATGAGGGGGGAGAGCGGCAGCCCTGCCTCGTGCCATTACTTATGCCAAAGGGGTCAGAAAGAACCCCGTTGACATTCACTCTGGCCGTGGGTCCAGAGTACAGAGCGAGTATCCAGGAGAGCATACCCGGGCCAAGCCCGATGTGCTCCAGTGTGAGGCGTAGGAATGACCAGTCGACCCTGTCGAAGGCCTTCTCCGCATCGGTCGACAACAGGAAGCTAGGGGAGGTCTTCGACCGGGCCGAGTGGATGAGACTGAGGGCCATAGATGAACAGTTTGAGATGTGGGTATACAAGAAGAGGAGATGAGCATGAAGCCTGAGATAACATGAAAGGGAGAAGAACTAGCAGAACAGAGAGAGGAGAAAATGAAAACATAAAAGATGGTGGGACTGGGAGGAATTTAAAATGGGTCTTCTATTAAAGGAACATGAATAGATTTATTGGTCGGCGTTTTAACAAGCACTGCTTTGTCTTTTTCAAGACTTGGGGGGGCCTCTTCTACTGGACCATTTGTATCTACTTGCTTTGAGTGCACCCGTGTAGCTTTTGCTTTTATCGGAGTGTGGTGCCCACCATTGAAACTATATATATTACTGCACACAATTTGTGTAAAGTGCTATACTCTTTTTGCAAACGCTGAATAAATGATCAGTCTGATCATTTTGCAGCCATATGTTAGAATACAGAGCATTACGTCATTGTCTTTCAATATTTCAGCTCAAGGAATGCATTGCTCTAATGGAGGCACAGCTGGAAACCCAGATGAACTCATCTAGCACAGACTGTCAGACCTATTCCAAAGAGGTGGAGAGTGTATGTATCTTATTGTTGATATTGGTTTCTATATATATAATGAAAAGGTTTTTACATCTTTGGAAATGGGGATCAGTTAGGCCTTGCATTAAGAGGAAACTTACTGCACATTATTTCATTTAGAAAGAGTAATTTGTTAAGCTGCTATTTCTTGGAATGTATAAGTTACTGTAGTTTTTACAGTGCATGTCCTTTTCCTTGTGCGTATATGTTGACCTCTGGCTTCTAAAAATTGGTTCAGTTGTTTTTGAACATGGGCATAATCACACGCGTTTACAGAACATGGATAATTTACATAGGAGTAATGTTGCTGACATGTGTTTGTCACTGATTTACTTTACATCAAAGCATAACTGTATAGCAGCCAATCAGTATTATTTTAGTCAATGTCCTGTTCTAATAAAATGTAATTAAAAAATAAATGCTTGTGCTGAATACAGCTGTTCTAAATGAATAGAGCCTGCCAGAAAATAACCTGATTGGAAGATGTGTTTGAAAACAGGGGCATGGATATCAACTGTATGCCAATGAGTGTGATTGACTTGTAACGTTATGCAATGCTTTGGACAGTGAATGCCAATATGAGTATCTGCCTTTCTTTATTGCAGCTGAGACAGCTTTTGTCAGATTCACATGAACATCTGGAAGCCACAAAAGCAGAAGCCAGAAAACAGAGCAAAGAGCTTTCTCTGGTAATTTTTATGATTTCATTCACTTTAAGGCTAGAATCATACGGCTGCAGTGTATCTATCGCGCATTGACATATTTCATTGATGTGTGGGATCTTTCCTTAACATGTGCATTGTAGTGTGTTGCACTGCATTTAAATTTAGCATGTTCCCTTTTCACCCAGTGACACCAACGCAGCATGTTGTGAATAGGCTCTTACATGTAAGAAAAGAATGGTAGCTCAGGCCAGGGGAACAGTGTGTCTGTGTATCAGTGCCATGAATCTTTGTAGAGATGCTGAATCAGGTGAAGCTGGTATGTCCTGGGCTTTTAGTGAAATGTGTGATTGTATTGCTGAGGATTGCCCCATAGATTCCATGTGTGCTGCTAATGGTAGGACACGTATTGAAAGTCAGAGAGCATAGCATCAGTAGCTACCATGCAAGAGATTAGTACTTTGGTGAATGTGGTGCATCACAGGCTAAATGGAGACCACAGAAAACATTACCTCTCGTGGAACATTGCATGTCATATTTGTTCCTATATTGTAAATTTTTATATAGCAGGGGATATGAAGGGCTCTATGCATCATGAAGTCCCTTTTGTGACAGTTGTTTTCTTGGTAATAGTGGTAAGCATGCAATGGAAAAGGGAGTGTTATTAAAAATGATCTCTTTCTAACAAGTCATTGTCCCCTATTCATCTCTCTGTGATAGCAGTTAAGGCAGGTTAAAGTTGCATCTCAAGTTGATCGTAGTGCTTGAGGGGCCATTTCAGCATGCTTTAAATTTTATTGCAGTACTATGAACTATCTACAACAGCATTTACAGCTAACTGGATATGACCCATTTTAAGTAAACATCAATTATATCTTTAAATAAAAGAATCTGCGCTCTTGGAAAGATAAGGCTAAAAAGTTAGAATACTAATCCTAAAGCTGCTATGAATTGGTAAAATATGATGTGCAAGTGATAACACAGCGCTAAAGGTGGATTCCGTAAGAAAGTAGGTGTAAAATATAAATTAATATATTGCCTTGTTCTGAAGGTATATATATATATATATATCCACCGAACTGGGGGACTAGTTACCTCAAGGTGTATATATGTGTATATACATATACAAAATAATATAAAAAATAATGTATATATGTGTATATACATATACAAAATAAAATTAACGAAAAACTGTTGTACAGACAAGATTATCTGTACAACAGTTTTTCGTTAATTTTATTTTATTAACGGTTTGACTCAAAGGTTTGAGGATTTGTCACTTTTTTACCATTCACTTATGAGATATTTTTATTGTTAAAATTTTTTCACATTGTGTTGCATTGTATCCACGTAGAAGTCTATGCTCAGATTTATCAACACAAATGAGGTTTAGACACTTTGTTATCACTTGATTTATACATAGTTGTTTTTGATATTTTTTCATTGGGACGTTATTCACTTATATGTATATACACCTTGAGTAGGTAACTAGTCCCCCAGTTCGGTGGATATATATATACCTTCAGAACAAGGCAATATATTAATCAATTATATCTTCTCTACAGACCTTTTCATGCGTGTTGTGTCCTTCGGTGTAGTAGTTATTACTAAAGAATTACTAGCCAATTGCTTTGCTTTAAGAACTTTTACAAAATAGCGATTTGCCATATCTGTTAAATGGGATTTTAATATATTTTCTTTTTCAGCTCAGACAGCATTTAAGTGAAATGCAGAATCATGTGCATGACAGAGAGTCCCATGGTGTAGAAGATCATCAGGTTAGTGACTAGTACAAACACTTTATACCTAGATGCCCATTGTTGTGCATATACCGCCATGTCTGCAGCTAAGCACGGTCATTCAGCTTTGTGAACCTTCTTCCGCTACTTTGTGTTAAACTCAGAAACTGATGATAATTTCCAGAGCTAGTTTGACTAATTCAGCGTCCTAGGAAACAGTTTCCTTTTTGTTCTGTCCATTCGGGGATAGCTGACATCTCCAATTGTAAAGTCTCATTCAGTTTTGGGAATATGCTTTCTTTAATCCATTTACCTTAGCAGATTCTGCTAAGGGGCAGCGATAATGCTGAGAGTCTTTAACAGGCCTACAAACTGGTGTCATCATGTTAAGCTATACTTTGCCAATATAAGACCCTGCTGAAGACACCAACCTGCTGTAGACACCAACCTGCTGTAGACACCAACCTGCCTCGCTTGCTCCACCTACCAGCCTTCAGTGTTTCTTTCCAGCCTACCCAGGTTAGGAAAAAGTAGTAGCAGCCGCATTCCAAGTTTAGGTATTAAACATAGCCTTTTTAAATCCACCTCATCCTGCACAAACTCCATCCTCTGACGCATTTTACTTCTAACTGAGCTTAATTGCAGAGTAAACATCTCCGGTCTATACCTGTTACCAGTATCCCAGCCAGTGGCCACGGAAAGCAGATGTGATTATGATGGACTTTGCTACCCTATCTACCCTCACTTAGATGCCTGCACTAGAATTTTAATTTTCAGACACTCTACAACACTATGGGGACCTATGTTGCTCTGATTTCTGTTTATGTTTTAATAGTTGTTGGCGTTTCCTCTTTTCTAAGTTAGCTGAGGTACATGGTCTTCCTTTTTATTGGTTACATAGTTTTTTTCAGGAATGCTACTGCATCTTATATTTGTCTCTTTATTGTACTAGAACATTGTATTTGTCTATATTGTTTCACATTTTGTTTTTTCGCTTTTTAAATGTGCAATAACATAAGTCTCAATATATATTTATATTTTATATTTAGTTGAAGGCACAACAGCCAAGTTTGGATGAACAGACTGATGAGCAGACTATGTCAGGAGACCTGGAAGAGGTAATTACATTGCATACATAGAAATAAGATTTGTAATATATTAAAAGGTAGTGATAATGGTCTGGGGCCATTGTTTTTTCTTATTTGTATATCTAGAATGTTTTTTTTGGGTTTTTTTTTTAACTGTATCTATACAATCTTTGTTTTTACAAATAAACATTTAATGCAGGACAACATTGAAGGGATTTTACCTATTAATAAACTCAGTCTGTCTGTAAAACAATGGTCCCCATCCCTTTAGTAGTGATAGTGATTTTAGAGATAAACGCGATGTGCAAAACTAACTAAAAGGGTAGCTACCCCAAAGAACACATTTTTTTAATACATTTCAGCTTTCCAGTCCTTCAGTGTCGTGGCTTCAATCATTTTTCTTATTTCAAGCTTTTTTCCCTTTTATTTTCATCTGGTGATCCTGGCAGTAACACAATTACAGTCTTACGGTGACAATGCTCCCCCCTACTGTACTGTACCTATGGAAGAGCAGTGTTGTCACCCTAGTCTTCTCGCTCCAGATATGGAAATAAATAAAATAAGAGATGTTTTGTTGTGCACAGATGTAGCATGGGCAGGGTTCATAACACTGGTTGAGATTTCAGTGCAGATTTCAGAGTGCACAGGAAGTTAGGAGCCCACTGGATTTCTGGCAGATCAACCAGTATTTCTGTACTTGCAGCGTTTAATAAAGAGACCAAAATGGGAATTGTGCATATATTGTAGCGATATCCTCTTTATTCTTTCCCTGACATACACTTTTATGTTTGTAATGAACAGAAATCCATGTATAGTTTGCAGCAAGAGCTGGAGAAACTGAATAGTGCAGAGGAAAGCACAACAGGCACCGAAGAGTCACAGCAATTGAAGGTTGGCACGGATGTTATGTTTTGTAGTATTTTGTGTAATTTAAATGTAATATTTCTCAGTCTTTAAAAGACTTCCGATCACCAGGATTTAGACAATAATACTGTTGAACTAATTATCCACTCAAGTAGTCAAGTATGAGCCAAGTCTGTAGATGACAGACTTATATTAACAGCTAAATGACCACAGGTAGTAGATCTATGGACCAATCTGTGGAGTGACTGTGCAAATGGCCGCAGACCTAGTTCCTGTCTTTGCATCGGGATCTACTATATTTTGTGCTGCAAGGGCAAGGCCATAGATATGGTCAGACACCAATCAAAGTGGTTCCTGGAGCCCAGATCTCTGTATTGGACATAGAGATTGTGGCAAATCAATGTATTAAAACACTACTGTCTCTTGATGTCTGCCCCCTTCTGCTTTCTCTGACAGATATGAGATGGTGACTTGATAATCTAATGCACAATTAAGTATTTGTAAAATATACATTAATTAGAGGGTAGGGTTGGGGCTATTTTGGGTAACTCAATCACCTTAATCCAATTACCATAGTGTCATGGAATGTTGTTAATCACCTTTTTGGGAGAAAAATGTTCAAACCCAAAAATTCATCTCATCTGCTGTGTATGGTCAGTATGTATTACACATTCTTGGTAGTTTTTGTTGACCAAGAAATCATTGGCTTTTAAACAAATACCCTCTAGCTCCAGTGTATGTTCTGCTTTTTAGTTATACCTGGACCAGGGTTGATCACAGAGTGAACATATCTGCATTTTTAATTATTGTAATCAAAATCTGACTGCTTGTTTATCACATTTTTGGATTTGCTGATATAGAAGACCTGGTCACTCAAGTGCCATAATTTTGGTAATAATGGTATAATTTTCCCTAGAGCAATAATGTGCAGTGATGGCAGTCAGTCAGTCATAGGGTTTCATTGGTCAGGTAATGATGAGTTCTGATTTGGATTCTGTAGATTTGGATTCATCGTTGATTAATGCTTCATGTCACTACAGCACTTGGCTTGTAAAAGTTGGATTATTAAATTATCTACAGGTAGCACACAAGTTCAAAATTTGTTTCACCTTGAAGGTTTTTTCCCATATTTATTTAAAGCTAACATTATCCTTCACTGGAAATATTGTAGGAGAGACTTGACAAGGAAAAAAAACTAACACGGGACTTAGGTCAAGCTGCTAACAAACTATTACAACTCTTGAAGGCTTCTCAGGAGCAACTAACTAAGGAAAAAGAGCACAATAAACTGATGCAAAGCCAACTCAAAGTGACGGTACTAACTCGCCTTTCTCGCTGTTAACCCTGTCTATTCACCTTCCTTTATTAACTCAATAAAATCACTATGATATCTAGGTTTGCTTCTCTGCTGCTTGCCTGCATACACACTGATGATACATTCATGTCACAAGTTTCAGCTATTGGTCCATCTAACAAAATGGAAGCTTCTATTGTGCATGAGTAGCATCATCTGCTTTGTCTCTGCAAATCTGGGCACCTCATTAATAAGGATCTGTCTTGATAAGGAATCTGCTTCAGATATCTGAATAAAAGGACTTCTAAATTGGTTTTCTTCTATCAGTAATAATGTAGAAGGGGAAAACATACATTGGTGCTTTTGTGCCAAATAGTGAGGATTTCCTCTTTCGATCCCCTGTCATTTAGTTGGCTTGGGTGGAATGTAAAATTAGAACTCAGCCGCTTAGCCTATTGGGCCAACAAGTTGTTGCAGCAGCGTCTGTGCTGCTCCTTCTGGGGCTAGGAGTCCGAGTATATGCCCTCTACAGTTTAGCACAAGTGGACCAGGGAAGGGATGTTTATTGAGAGCAGAACATTTCTTTTAAAGGAAAATATTCCTCTTTTCAGAGAAATATGTAGGCTGTAATTGTTGATGACCTTCAGTGGTGTTAAAGAAACCCTGTCACCAGACAACATTTCCCATAAGATTATATATGAATTGAAAGTATTTTAGGTATGTTATTTACCTGTAAAAGTCTTCTCTGCGTAGACATCCAAAAAGCCTGAGACTTCTGGGTCCCGCCAGCTTGGATGTGATGTCATGAATGGAGTCTAATGCATGTCAGTGCCCACAAAATTTTGTTCCTGCTGCATTTTTTGCAGTGTACCGCAACACGCACTGAAGGAAAGTGGGAGTAAAACAACCCTTCCATTGGTGTCAGCAGCTGCAGTAATAACCCCCAGCACTTATGTCAGTGGAAGAAATAACAACCCTCAACATTGGTGTCAGTGGACACATTATTAAGCCCCCAGCATTGGTGTCAGTGGATGCAATAATAACCCTTGGTGTTGGTGTCAATGGCTGCAATATTAACCCCCATCACTGGTGTCAGTGGTTCCAATAAGCCCCAGCAATGGTGTCAGTGGCCGCAATTATAAGCCCCAGCAATGGTGTCAGTGGCCACAATAATAAGCCCTAGCATTGGTGTCGGTGGCTGCAATAATAACCCGCAGTGTTGGTGTCAGTGGCAGCAATAATAACCCCCAGCTTTGATGTCACAGCCCGCAATAATAACCCCCAGCTTTGATGTCACAGCCCGCAATAATAACCCCCAGCTTTGATGTCACAGACTGGAATAATAACCCCCAGTATTGGTGTCACAGCCGACAATAATAACCCCCGGCAGTGGTGTCAGAGCCCACAATAATAATCACATTGTTGATCAGTGGAAGCAGTGCAGTTAGGCTCCCCACCTTCTCCAAACACACACACCACCTTGTACTGGGAACCGGGTCTTAGACAATCCCAGATCAAATCGCTATAATGTGTCAGGAAGGAGGGGGCTGTGCTAGGAAACTGATTCTCCTGGAGTAGTCACATTTTTCCAACAAGTTAACAGGCAAATTTCAAGTATGAATATCTGAATAAAATGCAATTATTAAAGGAAAACCATTGCAAGTAAGCATTTAAAAGACTTGATTTTGCTGTGGTTGTAGCTGCATTTTTTTAAGGGTCTCTTAAATATATTCTAAATCGCTGACCAGGAGCAAGTGGCTCGGGATTGCTGACAAGGCATCAGTTGTCTTCCGTGTCAGTGATGTAGAAAGTTCTTAAGCCAGAGGGGTCAAAGTGGCAGTCTGGCAACCAGCATTTTCAGCAGTGGAAGCCTAAATATTTATTGCAGTACATGTTTCTGTTTAACTTAGTTATTCAGTTCTGAATATTTAATTATGGATTGATTCTAAAATATAATGAGGATGCTTTCCTTTCAATTTTTGTCTGTCCCCTAATTTCCTTATCTCTAATGTATGTCTCCATTTCATCTGTTTGTGTTTTTTTGATGAGAAAGACTGATAAAAAGATAGATAATAATGAATAAAAATGCTTATGGAACACCGAGTTGTCATTGAAAATTATATAGCTGACTGTCTAATATGGATTAATTAGCAGAATAATGTGGTAAAGCAATTACCCATACAAAATATATTTCCAATTAGATGCAGTAGAACAGTTTCCCACATGTATTAGTGCCAAGGCACCATCCTTTTTTCTGGTCTCACAGTAGTTTACCATCCGAGGAATATGCAACCCATAGGAACAGGAAGATCTGCCCAGTGATAGGTTATGGCTCCATATATATATGGCGGCCACACAGTGCTGCAGACTGGATGAAAAAGTGAGTCTAGGGAAAGATCAGCAGAATATATACAGTAAGCTGTACATCATTCACCGCTGACTTGCATTCCAAACACTGAAGGACAAAGGTTCTAGGTCCACTGCTTGCAGTGACAAGTTACCTTGTGAGAAACGGCTGAGAGCACATAACGTAAAATATCTTGTAATCTAAATACAGTAAATGCTTCCATCTAAATTAACTCTATAAACTTTTGTTTTCTAGGACCAAGAATCCAGCACCAGTGATGGAACGTCTGTTTGATTCTAAATAATGTTTTGGTTAGGGCTTTTTTTTTTTAACCACAATGCCTTAAACATTCCTTTCTTGAGATTCAAAAATAATAATTGAGTGAGCCAAAAGCCTCCTGAAGTTAATGTCTTACTTATAACGGCATACTTTTTTTGAACAAAAATGACATTCCATTATAAAACCACTGACTGTGTCAGTACGCCATACCAACATTTCCACTTTTTGGACTGACAGCCTGAAGAGATTACTGGGAATTCTGAAAAGGGACCGACTGTGTACTCTGCTATAGGAATCAGTGCAATTTATTATATATATATATTATTTTTTTGTTTTTGGAGTGAGCGATGAATGAATGGACATAAACCTGGCAATTTATATGAAGATGATGCCATACTGTAACTGGTCTCCAGTATAAAGTCATGTGAATTGTTGGTCGCCTAAATGCCAATAAAAAAATTGATATAGCCATGAATGTTAATTTGTATTTTATTGGAGCAGCAAATACATTTCCGCATTGGAGAAACTTTAGTCAAGTTTAAATCAATCTATTAAAAAAAATGTCTCCCTCCTCACTTAACATCCAAAAAGTGGGTAGTAGTGTGCCCCAGGATTCTGTCTTGGAGCCCATTGCTGTTCAACCTGTTTATTTATGATAATAGGGCTGGTATCATTAGCAACATTTCAGTTTTTGCTGATGATACCAAAATTTGTGGGGTGATAAACCCGATGGAACACAGCAATATTACAGAAAGATCTAGATAAAATCGGGGGTGGCCATATGCAGGGCACATGAGGGTTAATATTGAGAAATGTAAGGTTATGCATGTTAAAAAGACACATGCCAGCTACTCATTTAATAGGAGCTCCACTGGGGTAATCAGGTGGAAAAAGGTTTGGGGGGTCCTAGGGAAGAGCTAACTTTGCTGCAGCCTGGTATTGCATGCTGTAGCTAATAGGGCAAGCAGGGTACTAGAATGTATAAAATAGGGAATGTATAAATCCATAATTCTGCCCCTTTAAAAAACACTGGATTGGCCTCAATTTGAGCATGCAGTTCAGTTTTGGTCACCAATCCACAAAAGGGATGCCCTTGAGCTAGACTGCGTCCAGAAGAGGGCAATGAAGCTAATAAAGGGGTTAAGTGGCCAGACCTGGGGCACTCTGACATTATGATAGATGGCTTGCTGATGAAGTGCTTAGGTACCTAGGTAAGGATGATGATCAATTTTTGATACCTTTTTTCTGGATAAACTAGGGAAGGGTTAGAAGAACTACATTAAGGTTTTTCTTTCTTTGTGTCCCTGTTGAAGAGCTGGTTTCTCATTACCTATCTCTGGGATGACAAGTGAGAGATTTTTCATTTTTTCTTAGTAGAGTGGGGAAGGATTAGAAAATGTGACCTTTTGGCTGTCTGCATTTTAGTTGGGCAGATTTAGCCTTGTTTTTTGTTTTTGTGACTAGCACCCATAGCTTAGGAAATTTCCAAAGGGGCACATGGACAATATTAGTGACAAAGCAGAAATACGTACCTGAGTGGGCCTACACAGTAGGCTGGACATTTTGCCCTTTATAGTAACCAAATATCATCATGCTTTAGAGTACGTTGGATAATGAAAACTAATATTTTACCTGTTGCTGCAGATGACGACTTTTCCTTTTCATTTAGCTCAGTGATTGAAATTATGCAACACAAACATTTATAGGTTGGACCCCAACATTAGGTTATATTTCTATTTGACATCAAGTTAGGTAAAGTAAATCTGTGTACAAAGGTAATAGTAAATCTAACCGCGAAAAAGAACATATTTGGGAACATAGTTTTTGTATTGGGGTTTGTCCCCCCAGTGCGACAGGACACTTTGTGGGATGGGGGTTCTGTCTATGGCTCAGTATATAGAAAAAGACAAAATTTGCATCCATGACAGCCAATAAATGTCTCAAAGCATAAAGTAAAAACTAAACAAGAATGGCGTAAAAACAGAAATGTAAACATCCAGATTTCAATCTACTAGAGATGTTTGGTTGGACTTGAAAAGGCTGTTGACTCATGATCCCCATGCAACCTCACAAAGCTGGAGCAGCAAAGCAAAATGGGTAAAAACTGCAAAGCTGATACAGACCTATCCACAAAGACTCGGAATGTAACACTGCAGCCAAAGGTGCATTCATAAAACACGAATCCGAACGGGGGCCGTATTTCCATCACTTATTTTGTTTTTTTAAATTGTAAATAATTTATATCACCTTACCGAAATCCGTTTTCACTTCGGTGTGAAAAAGTCTATTTCTGTTGATCAGTGTAAAAAAACCTGCTGCATTTTTCTGCAGTGCACTGCATAGCAACACTCACTGGAACATGAACTGCTTGGCAACAGGTCAATGCACTGTATTACAGTAAACTGTGCGGGGACCCGAATGGAGTGTACAGTTTGTACACTCCAAATAAAAGTTAAAAAAGGAAATAGTGCCATATACATGGTATAATGCTGCGTTTTACTGTGGGGCTAGTTTGAATTGGTCCTTAAACTTCTAAATGGGTGACCTACTAAGTGCTGTGTGTGTGTGTGTGTGTGTGTGTGTGTGTGTGTGTGTGTGTGTGTGTTAGGAGATTTTATATATATATATAAAATCTCCTATCTGTTTTGCCAGCCACCGGCCCCTTTCGCAAATCCAGCAACACCGACACTCCGGAACAGAACAGGTTTGAGTCATAGGGTCTTTTCAGCATTTATTTCACAGGATCAGCTAGGAGAGGGGGTTTGGGATTGTAGGTACCTGAGAATAGGGTGAGGGATCTCTTACAGGGTTCCAGACAGTAGCTCTCACCAGCTCCTCTGCGACACTCCTCGATAAGCAGATTCCACCTCCAGCCCAGCTTCCATCAGGTTTCCTTTCAGCAGCATCTGAAGTCCCTAGGCCCCCAGCACATGCTGTGGTGCATACCAGGTATCCAGTAGTAACTTAGGCCTCTAGGCCCCCAGCATCTGCCACATGCTGAAGCCCAAGCCAGGCATCTGTAGTATCTTAGGCCTCTAGGCCCCCAGCACCTGCCACATGCTGAAGCCCAGGCCAGGCATCTATATCACACAGGCCTCCTCCCATGGAGGGCCCCGGGGGGCGGAGAGAGCTCTGGACAGTGTCCCCAAACCTTTTATCACCTGCCTTCAACCATACCTCTGAGTCATCCTGCTCAGGGATTGGTTAGGGTCAGGTGCACAGTCACAATCTGAGGATGGATCCTCCCTCACTGTATGCTGAGTCCCCAAACCATTTACAGGGGGAGCAATCAATCCAGCAAACTCAGAGGAACCTGTAGAACGCACAACTCGGAACAAAACAGCATCTAGACTGATTACAGTCCAGATATACACTTAATTTGGTAGCGACATATGTAGCGCCCTCTGATATGTGTGTGTTAAAAAAAAAAAAAATTCCCAGGCCTGGTGCATTTTTTAGTAAGACTCCAATGGGTTTGCTTACAAAAGTTCTAATTCTGTTCACATGGCACGAATGCCCCTAGATGGCACTGACGGGTATAGAAAATTCTTATACTCTTCAGCATGCTCTACGGGCGCCAGTGCCATGTGAACAGCATCCGCCCGGCAAACTTTTATCAATGAGGCTCTAAGACTCTGGCCAGTCCTCCTTTTATGACGTGTGCTGGGATGCCAGAACATAGTTTCCTCTCCTACTGGTGCTGCTTACAGTAGCCATATCATCATGTCCTCTTGGTCTTCTATTGGACTTTACTTAGCATCAACTACTTTATCTCATGTAGAAGGTTCCACCATCCAATATACATAGAGAATTTTTATGGCAAGAAGTTTATAAAGGAGACACGTGCAGGTGTTGTCCTGTCCACCTTCTTTTACTGAATTAAACATGTACATAACATTTTACTTACAGTAGAAAATAACAAAATCCAGCAGGGCTAACTGTGACATGGCGACTGCCTATGCTGTAGTTTGAGTTTATTACAGGTAATTTATATAGCACCAACAACTTACACAGCGCTTTACACATGCACATCAGTCCCTGCCCAAAAGGATCTCACAATCTAAGGTCCCGATCTCACGTGCAAAAGTAGAGCTCACTCCCAAAGGAGCTGCTGGAAATATACCCAGGTCATCTCTATCCTGTCTAGGGATTGTAGCAACTAGCTGCCCCATAGCATTAATCGCCATCTTCCAGTGACCAACAGAGCTGAAATCCAGGCCAGAAGTATGAGGTTGAAGAACTTTATTAACAAATCCACACTGGAAGAAAGAGTCTAGGGGCCTAGACATCCAGGGTAAAACGGACACAGACTCCAGACTCGCTAATCGCTTTTAGTATTTGAGTGTAGATTCATTAGGAGCACAGTGGAATAGGGATTGGCACAAAATCTTCAGTAGGAGAAACGCTAGACTTGCTCCTGAGGTCCTCTCTATCCCAGGCACCTCCAGCAGCATCCCTGGTTCTCCTCAATCGCTTCTCCTCCAGGCCCCAGCCCTGCCTGGACTCTGGGCTATCCCAGAACTGGACTGGGCACGTGACAAATTCCCCTGAGTATATATTCCCTATCCCAGGATGCACCACTTGCTATGGTGGATTGTCTAGTAGACTACACACATAGTGTCCCCCATTGGTTGTCCCACACTGTAGAAGAGTAACACTCCACTTAGGCAGCTACAATCAATGCCAGAACACTTGGAATTAACCAGATAAATGCCAACTGTAATTCAACCAGACTGACTACAGCTTTGGCAATCACTAGATTTCTAGTAGCCACCTCACTAAAGGTGATGGGGGCTACACATACATACGAAGGCCAATTAAACTTCCAGTCTTTTGGAGTGTGTGAGAAAATTGGAGTACCCAGAGGAAACCCACACAGTACAAGGAGAACATGCAAACCTCTTGCAGATGGTGTCCTGACCAGGATTTGAACCATGGATCCTCAGTGCTGCAACGCAGAAGTGCTAACTACTATGCCACTGTGCTGCTAGGGTTGCCCCTTATCTAGTATTTTACCAGCATGATCATCTAAAATGGTTTAGCTATACATCACTGCAATCCATCACTGTGCACCATGACATTGTAATTCCCGTCTTCACATCTAAGCATAGTTAATTGCCCCCCTGCAGGTTAGGGCCCATTCACATCTGAGCATAGCATTAATTGCTTCCCTGCAGGTTAGGGCCCATTCACATCTGAGCTTGGTGTTAATTGCAGAATTCTGTGCATTTAACATGCACAATCGCACAATGCACCTAGCGTGCAGTACCATACGCTAGGTGCATTCCATTGTCATTCTTTAGATTGGCACCACAATGCCCCTTCTGGCCATAATGCGGTGCTTCATTACTGTACGCTGCTTTGCAGTGAAAAAGGGTAGTGCATGCCCTTCAAGTAAGCTTACACATGTCTCTAGTATTTAGGTAATATTTGCTTATCCTGGAGTTCAGTTTTGTAAAAAGAGGAGTGCTATGCATCCTGTTCCAGAGAACGTGCACTTTAAATAGAAGAACCTCAAGCTGCACTCTTCACACATACAGAATTAAGTAGCAGTTGTGTTGCTCCTGTCCGACCAGCAGGTGGCGCTGCCCGGAAGATGTTCTCTAGTTATCCTCGTTGGTTTCTGTACACGTGTTTTGGCTGGAGGCTCAGAGCGGAAGGTGAGGGTATGAATTGGCGGCGGGTGCCAGGAGGGATGTGTGGGGACAAATGACAGGTGGATGCTGCTAAATACAGCTTGTGTACACTGTTTAAGCCAGCGTAGAATAATAGCTGCTGTGGATAAGACTAGGTAAAGCCGATAGTGGGTAGCTACCGGGTATGTACAGCTGCTACTCGATGGTCTGCTGGTTGTCATGTCATAGTAACCGTGCGAGTGTTAGTGAGGACCACCAGTGCTGGGACTTAGGATCAGACAGGGAAGATTTGTTACTGTATCATGTGACATTTGTTACTGTGCTATGTGACCTTTGTCCTAACAGGAACCTGGCTCTTTTTAAAGATATGAAAGCAAATCTCTGATGAACGCTCAGCAATAAAGCGGAAGTAACGTCAATTTTTCCACTTTTCACCATTGAAAAGCTTATAATACACTATATTGTCACATTGCATTGTACTCACAGTATCTTACCCCTTGCTGAGATATTGATGTTGTGATGTCACCGGCGCACTAGTCTGCTCATTCCTGGCATGAAGGATGTGCATGATGTAAAGAGCACCTATGCTGGGAATCCTGGGATGATGCCATCAACTATCCCTGTTATGGGCTCTGGTGGCTCTGCTTCCTTCATTCTGTTTACTTTGGTCAAGATTTACTGCCTACGTCAGTGGAGGGTAAAAGAATGGAAAGGCAACTAAGAGCCGAGATGCAGACAAGATGGCGCTGGCTTCAAGAACATCATACACTTGTGCAGAGAGCTGTGCTTTTTCAGCAGTAGAAAAATAGAACTCTTGGCAAGGGAACACAAACAAAAATTGTCCATGTTCCTTGGGAATAATCATTTTATCAAAACTCCGATGGAGTGCTGGTGACTCTATTATTTACCACTGACTCTGCACCTCACCATCCTCTTCAGTCACTCTTCAGTACAACGTACATGGAGGGATCTTTAGTGCAGCACATGGTCCTGTCAATACCTGACAGGTGAGTGCATTTAATAGGGTGCAGTGGCTGTCTGGTCAACAATGTCCCACCCCTGCTCAGTCAATTTTTAAATAGACTTGTGGAGCTATGGGAGCTGTGCTGACAGGGGTATCCATTGCTCCTATTTAGCCAAAAGTCAAGCCATCTTTAGAATGCTTTGTTCACAGCGCTGCCATGCATGCGTTTTTGTGCATTAAGATGCACTGCATTATTTATTACAGGTATTTATATAGCGCTGACAATTTACACTTTCACATTCACATCAGTCCCTGCCTCAAGGAGCTTACAATCTAAGGTCTCTATTGCACACACAGACAGGAGCCAATTAACCTTCCAGTATGTCTTTGGGGTGTAGGAGGAAACCTACGCAAGCACAGGGACAACATGCACACTCCTTGCAGATAGTTTCCTGACCAGGATTCAAACCAGGCCCCCTCAGTGCTGCAAAGGCAGCAGTGCTAACCACTACGCCACTGTGCTTTGGAGGCTCATTATAAATGAATGGACTGCAAGGCACCTCAACACTTACAAAAATAAGAGCAGGCAGCATGTTTTCGCTGCGTTGCAGTGCAATATGATGTCGTTTAAGATTAATGGCATCCCAGTGAACCTCCTCAGTGCATGTACACACTGTGGGAAAAATGCTGCCTGCACTATTTTTCCATGTGTTCAAGCCCATTTTGAATAAAATACAAAAGTTTATTAAAAATATATATATTTTTTAATATTTTGGAATCCGTGAGGAATTGTTAGACCATCTGCCAAGTTTTTCATGTGGCCTGTGTCCCCGCTTGGAGGATTCACCCCTCTATTTGTCCTAGTGACAATTGTCGTAGATGCAGAAAGTGGGGGAAATCCTAAATTGTCATGAGAGCAAGAGGTGCGGGGAAATCTTCCAATGGAGACAAATGTTCTAGTCTGTTGACTCTAGTAGTCCCATCACTGGAGCCATTTTTTAAAATGTATTTTATTTTTTTATCCGATTAACCGATTAATCGAACTTAATAATCGGCTAACTAATCGATTTTGAAAATAATCGTTAGCTGCAGCTCTACTTTGGAGACATACGTTCTTCTATTGGGTTTCCAAGCCAAGAAAACAAGGAAAATCTCCCTAGCAGGCCAGAAACAACAAAAAGAAATTACATATGGGGGATTTAACCCTTCCCTACTCTGTCCAATACAAAAATAAAAAGTTGGCTGCACTTGTCACACACTTAAATAATGCCTAGAGACATGAACAAGTTACCTCGCCTCACTTTACCTCCATTGTAGGTAACAGGTCTGAAGCCAGGAGAACCTAGGACCCTGCATTTAAACTTGTTAGTTTGTAATTTTATTAGTAAGGCTGAGTTCACACCTGGGCGGTTTTTTTATGCTCGTTTTTTTTTGCGTTTTTTCGTTCTGTGAAACGCACGTTTCACTGGTGGTATGATTTTTTTCCTTTATTTTCTCTATTTAAAAAAAATAATATTTTTTTTAGTTTTACTTTTAATCTTCCCGCCGGCTCCGCCCCCCTGCGACGTGGCCGCTCGCAAGGCAATGGAACTCGGAAGTCGGCAGCCGCCAAAGACACAGCGTGGATCGCGGACAAGGTAAGACCTGTACGCTGTATTCCCAACTGTGGCTTGGGGTTACCACTTTGTTAACCCCGATCCACACTCGGGAATACCAATGTCAACGCGCGGCAAAACGCCCCAAAGAAGCTCCTGTGCTTCTTTGGGCGTAGGGCGTTTTTCAGTGCGTTCCTACGCGCTGTATAACGCCCAGGTGGGGACCATGCCCATAGGCAATTATTGGTTTTCACATGTTGAGCATTTTACAGCGCGTAGGAACACGCTGTAAAACGCCCAGGTGTGAACCAGGCCTAAATCCCACCAACTCAAAGATCTGGGATGACTCTCTGATGCTACACAGCTTTGCCATTCTGGACCCTGTGCAGAACCTCCATAACGGTTAAAGACATTGCAGTTAAAACTGATCATTAAACCTTGTGGTGTACACATGGAGCCAACAATACCTGATCAATACATCTGTTTATCATCAAGGAGATCAATTGCCAAAGTAACCTAAGTACCAATACTGAGATCTGTAAAAAATAAATCAAGGCAACTAGACTGGCTGTATTTTTCTTGAAGACGTTTCACTGGTCATCCGACTAGCTTTCTCCACTGAGAAAGCTAGTCGGATGACCAGCAAAATGTCTAAGAAAAATACAGGAAGTCCAGTTGCCTTGATTTATTTTTTTACCGATATACCATGACCTGGATGAATGAGAACCTTCACAGACAATACTAAGGTGTTTCTTGCAACTAATAATCAAATTCAAACCCATCATGAAAATGTGAATTTACACAAAGTAATGTAAATTCAGTAAATGTTTTGGTTATAGTACATTGCAGTGTTTGTTGACTTTCTTAGCTCATGGATTGGTGTTAAATGTTGTCAAGAATTTCTTCCCGAGGTATAGTGATGCTTTAATGTTCTAAGCAGCCTTCAGTATTGTTGCTTATTGTATCATACAGCAAAGTGTATGAAGAAACTTTATTCATAAAGTGCAGGCAAGCCCTTTGCTCTGTTCAGCTGGATGTAGTGCAGCCTCTATTGGTCAATGCAGATTTGCTATTTGATAGTTTAAAGCCCAACTGAACTTTCAGTTTGAATCATCTAGATGCATTTCATACATTCAGTGTATTCCATTTCAAAACAAAAATTCTTAGGCCTCATTCAGACGGGTGGCTAAGGGGCAGTAATAAAAGGCGGTTCAGCCCCCAGACCACCCACCTAAAACTGTATATAGTGGCAGCTCATGCTTGTACCCATTCTGCGGCAAATTTTAAATGGCGTTTTATGTTTGGTAGGTGGTGCCATGTGCGTTCCACTGCAAACGCAGAAAATAGGGCTTGCGCTTGGCAAGCCCTATTTTCTGCGTTTGCAGTGGAACGGAACGCTGCCAAAGAACGCAGAGAGAAGTTTCGTAGCGATCGCGGTGCGTTCCAGGAGCTACGCTCTGGAACGCACACGCTTTCGGTGTGAACAAGGCCGGAAACAAAATGTTTGACCCTAATCTTAGCTTCAGCATTATTGGATATTTCTGTATGAATCATTTGTGTACTTCTATGATTAGTAATAGACCCCGGGGTTTCCTGTAAATGATATCAATGTATTTGTAGGCACGTCCTTCTGTTGTCACATTTTGAAGAAGAAAAACTGATTGTTCCTGACAATGAAGGCGTTCCATCTCATAAGCAGAAATTGCAAAGGACTAGCAAATGTTCTGTTCCAGCATCAGCACATTTCAGCGTTCTTGTCCACATCCTGCACCTCACACAGCAAGAAAAACAAAGTAAATGGTTATGAAGATGTTGATCAGGAGAGATACAACAGTCTGGTCCGGATGGTTAGATCCTCTAGGACTAGTAGTCAGACTCCAGAGAGGATATTTGAAGAAGACAACTTCTTATATGGTAAAGTGATAAAGTCGCAGCTGCCATCAGAAGAACCTGAACCTAGCGTACCCCAGAGCAATTCATCACTGTACAACTCCAACAAAGTGATACTGCCTACAGAAAAGACAGACCCCAGTATACCAGTGAAAATCGGCTTACCAGCCAGAGATCAGATGGCTAACGGCAGACTGCCGAGTGTCACTCGTATCCTTCAACAGACCATGCCAATGGAGCAAGCATTTCATTTGGAAAGGTGGAAGCAAAGAATGATAATGGAACTAGGAGAGGAAGGATTCATTGCGTACACAGCAGGTATGTATTCCAGCTCTTATCTAAATCTGAATGACATCCATTTTCCTCATTAAAAGCTAGCTAGAGGCAAAGCCAGCTGTACCCGCCCCCTCCCCGTCCGTTCCGCCAGTCAGCGCTGGCAGATCGGAGAGGGGAATCCAGCCCCTCCCCCTGTCACGGCAGAGAGCTGTGACAGGATCGAGAGGCGAGCGAACCTGGTATGTGTTCTCTCACCTCCCGATCTACTGAGCCGGCCTGTGACAGTCTCATTGTTACAGGTCGGCTAGAACTATGAGGTGAGTGAAAAGCACTCACCTCATAGTTCTCCTTTAATTACATATGTGTATTGTTTGTGTAAAAGATTTATAGTTCTGTGTTGTTTCTCATTTACATACCTCTGCATCAATGCACAGCTACTCCACATTACTACCTTTCTTGTTCAGCTGAACGGTTTCCTGGGTCACCTCCCTGCCTATTAGAGGTGATGATGCTGATTCATTGTCCAGTTAAAGTGACACTAAACTCAGGAGTTAAGTCTTCAGAATGCATTTAAGTACATTTAACTATTAATAAAACTGTATATTATTTGTGCATCACTCAGCTGTAGATCCTCCAAATCATCTCTGAATTGGTGCTGACACTGTCCTTCCTTCTGGAGGGTGGCTACTATTGTTCTCCATGGTCCCTGTGTGTGTTGTAAAGTAGCCACCGCTCCAAGCTCACTCCCGGGATGGACTACAATCTCACGTTTAGTTAGCTAATTTGTATTGAAGTTATAGTCCATCATGGGAGTGAGCTTGTTGCGTTGTATAACGGGCTCATATACACTATGTAAACCAGGGCCATTTATCTTGAGCATATGACAACAAAACATTCATGGCATAGCAGCCTATATGTCTGGTTACAAATGAACAATGAGCTGGGTATTTATTGAGATTAAAAGAAAAGACTTTGAAAAACATATTATATTGTGTAAAATCTTAATGTTGTAAAAGTTATTTTTTTAGGAATGACATCCAAAGCTTGTTGGTGATTAAAAGCTTTCACTGTGATAACACGGTTATCACAGTCCTAACATTTCTCCAATTGTTATCCAGCTGTTTTCTCACAGGGAAAGCTGTTCCATGCCAGGCTGGAGGATGTGCTGCAGTGCAGAGATGACGACATTCACAGGCCAGACGATACCGAGGCCATGTCAGGATACCTGGCCAGTGTGGAGCATGTCCTGTCCGATGTTGCAGAACTAAGGACACTGGAAAGTGCCGTTCTCCACTCTGAGCTAAAGTACTTGGGCATTGTAGATTGCGTTGCTCATTATAGGTGAGAAAATTATAAGTGCAGAAAATAACCAGCTTAAAGTATATGTGCAGACCAAACTTTGTTTTCCTTTTTTATAGAGCAGGGGACGGTTAAAATCACTGTCAGTAATTAAATTTTGTTTGACAAATGTGTCTCATTAGATAGACTTCCCTTCACTTCCTGTCCTGTAGATTCAACAGGAAGTAAGAGATGTCCCCTCTTAGTCAGTTGTCATGAGATCAAGTGTCCCCATTGGAAGATTTTCTTTCTATTTCAGTTCTAGTGGAAGCTTAAAATTTAGGATGTACACTCAGTTCAATTCTTGGTGACATAGGTGATCAGGACAGATAGAGGAAGGAAATCTGGAAACAGGGACAGCAGTAAAACCCTTGACAGGGCCTCTAATCCCTCACTACTCTATCCAAACCTAAAAAAGTTTTGGATAGAGTAGGTAGTTATATTTTACCATTCTTATAGCCATTCTATGTTAAACTATGGCAAGAGATACAAAGGTTGCTAAATGCGCTAAAATGCGCTTTTATGTGTTTTTAGAATATACTAGCTAAAGGCAGGGCTGGACAAATCCCAGGAGACAGGTGTTCATTTCAACCAGTCACATGCTTGCAAAAATCATTAAAACTATTCTTTTCACGTGCACAGGAATGGGTATTTGAAGAGTGAATACAGGTTCACCCTGTTTCCTACCATTCACTTTGCTAAGTGAACCGCCTCTACTCCTTTAGTAAATCAACTCCAGTGGCTCAAAAGCAGATGTTTAGCTGGTGAAGGAAGTCTAAAGAGGGAGATGGTTGAGCAAGCTAGAACTGGCATAGTTTCAGACACTGGGCTTATTAGCCTCACTACCGTGTTCAGAACCTTGATCTGGAACAGAGAGCAGCGGTACAAGTAGGATGGTTGTGTCTTCAAGGGTTAATAGAAGCAACAACAAAAAATAAGTAACTGAACTTAAGCTGGAGGTAGAGTTTGTTGGAAGAGTGTTTTCATTCCTCTGGTGGACATAGTATAGGACATGTTTTTTTTGAATATGTGATTAAGAACTGGGAATAAGCAGTGCAAAAAGAAAAGGAGAAAACTATCAAGAAAGGAAGCTCCTGTTAAAAGAAGCTTGATGGAAATTATAATAGGAAGGGGATTCTAGTGACAATAGAAGCTCTGGACTTGTGCTAGGTTAACAGACCTGGGCCCATGGCACACTTAATCTGCCACTCTCCTATGCCATCGGCATATGGGGTGCCACCTGTTTGTGAAATTCTATATCTGTAATGGAATTTAGCTAGTGTTTGTGTATAATTTGACATATATATATATATAGATTTATAATGGTATCAGTTTAAATATTTACATTTTGGTAGCAATAAGCAGATCAGTTAAAATACATCTCAGGGAGTGAGAAATGAATAACATATTGCAGAATCTTAGATATGAAAGTTCTTTGATTAGAAATTAATCAGCAATGTCTGAAGCTCCTCTAAGTCTGATTTAATTGCAGGATTGTGAATTGACACTCCATGCGTTTAATAGTCCATATACATCTTTATTCAATGTAGGCTGGAGGTGACAGTTTAGAAACAGTCAACACATTTCGGAGGCTCATACAATGACCTACTTCATCAGGATTTATTAAGGGAGAACATGTAGCAGGACATGGGGTGGCTTGAAATTGGATACCATTTTGTACATTGGGTGAGAATGCAAAGAGCTTTTCAGCAGCTGATTTGGCAAAAGGGTGTTTGTATGAGCCCCCAAAATGGGGTTTCTATACTGTCACCTCAACCTTACATTGAATTGAGATGTATCTGGACTAGTAAACAGAATGTGGTGCAATTCACAATCCTGCAGTACGACCTAGGAGACATTGGAGGTCCTTTGGAATGTAGAAGCTGCCTGTCTGGTAGTCCGATTACCTATACCTACTAGGGATTCTAGGGTAATGACCCATCTCCCAGCTTCCTGATTTGCTGGGAAGCTGGCTTCCTGGCCAATCAGCATCGATCCAGCCAAACAGCATGAAGCCGGCTTCCTGGCCAATGAGCATCGAGGCGGTCTAACGGCATGGAGACGACTACCCGGGCAATCAAGAAGCCAGGCGGTCGGCAATGACATGCCGCCCGGCTTGTCGATTGCCTGGGATGCCGGTTCCATGCTAGCGGGAGTACTGGTATTGGCACTCAGTATTGGCGTGTACCAAAAAATGAATATCGGTACTCATACTCGATACGGAAAAGCCAGTATTGGCGCAACCCTAATACCTACTCTTTGAGGGCCCATTCACACCACATCCAGATTACCACCAGACTGTTTCCGGACCCAAAATGTATCCCTATGCTATTTCTGGCCTCTTGTACTGCTTGTCCTATTTTGTCTGGTCTGGAATGCACTGGAGCGTATCAAAAACGCACTGGAACGTACCTGTAAGACCATTTTAAGCTAAAAAAAATTCAAACGCAGCAAAAACGCAATGCATTGTGTTCCAGATCTGGTCCGGAAAATAATGTGAACCCAGCCTCAAATCATAATTGGCCAGCCCCACCAGTATGATAAACTTTGCAGGTTCAGAGCTTTTTTTCCACTTCTTTCAAGGTCTTGTTTAGGAATTGGGGGTCTGGTCATCAATAGGAAGGCAAAGGAAAATCTAAGAGACATTCAGATGAATTTCATTGCAGCGCAGTAGAATTATTACTAGGCCCTCTCTGCGTTTTGAGAGAGAACATCAAGCTTGAGTAACCATCAGACTATATGAACGATTCATGAACAATTTAGGAGATTACATAAATGTAAACATGACCGCGTTAAAATGGAGAAAGAAGAGTTTCTGTAATGATCTAAACATGATGGCGTATGCAAGTGGCATAAAGCTTAGATGATCCGCTGTGAATTTAGAATCCAGACTACACAACCTTTATTGGGTTGCCACTGAATTAGAAAAGGCATTCATTCTTTTTCATTTTATTGGGAACTACATATTTTTGTAGCACTTAAAAAAAAGAAAGAATAATTGGTGTTAAAGAAAATAACACACTGACACTTGGGGTTTTCCAAAAGGCTGACGACCCTGGGATAGGTAATGAAGGTGATTACTGCAGTAACCAGCATTTGTCTTAATCAGTACAGGTGAAGTAGGTTATCAAAAACATCAGTTTTACAATGGGGGATAATTTTCTTTCCATTCAGTAGAATTAGTAGCACTCTGGTTCCTCTCAATCATTCGGGAAGAGGACATCCTGATGAGTTGCTCATCATCTCCTGACAGCTGGAGCAGCCTGCAGGTCATGCACAGTGAGAATCCAATCATAAAACCCTAGTTGCCATGGCAATCATGTTGTGATATCTATGGGGACCATTTATAAAGCAGTGGTATTGCCTTACTTTGACCATACTGCTGCTTTTTGAAAAAAGGCACAACTCTAAAATGTGTTTCATAGTTCAGGACTTCAATCTGAGTGAAAGCCTTAATTAATGAATGAAGTAGAAAAGCCCAGTCACATGACCTGAAAAGTGATTTGAATGGGCTCCTCCAATCACGGAGCACTGTATAGCACAGTGTGGTGTCGCACATAGAACAACATTATTGGAAATCTTACAACAACAAAAAATCTCACTTTGGAGACCTGTTATGATTGCAGATTTGAAATGTCATGCCCCTGCCAGAAAAATGTGAGGGCTGTTCCAAACTGTCAATCACAATCTCACCTATGCCCAGAACACACTTTTCCCTGCTTGTGTTATAAATAAGATGTTCATTTTTCCCCCCAAGCATTTCTAATGTATTATAGTGAGCATAAAATATGACTTCTGGAGTCACATGACAACCACATTTGTTGCAGGGGAAAACTTTGTATAATAGACTGGAAAACCTCTGAGAAGCAGAAGGCACACATACAGAGAACATTTGACAATCCACTACAGATTGCTGCTTATGTTGGCGCTCTAAATCATGATGCCAATTATAACTTTCAAGTAAGTAGTTCTTAATCCTTATATGTGTTGCTGACATGCTGCATGCATAGCTCTTAGAACATACCTAGTGTTACTATGCTCTCTTGATCACATGTTCAGCTTCCCTCCTAGAACATATCCCGTGTATGTGTGTGTATGTATAAACACTGTATGTATGTGCACCCTACAGTTGAGTAAAGAATTGCCCAGTTGCCCTGAAGGCAATTTTAAAAGACCGTGAAGAAGAGGCTGGTTCACACCTGGGCGTTTTACAGCGTGTTCCTACACGCAGTAAAACGCTCAACATGTGTATTTTTTTTAAATAGAGAAAATAAAGGCAAAAACCAAAAAAAAAATCATACCGCCAGTGAAATGCGCGTTTCACTGAACGAAAAAACGCGAAAAAAAACGAGCTGAAAAACGAGCATAAAAAAACCGCTCAGGTGTGAACCCAGCCTCAGGGGGGTCTCGTGATGAAGCAACATGGATACATTTATTGGGCTGGTCGATGTTTCAACAAGGCACTTCTTGTCTATCTCAAAATGTCAACAAGCCCAACAAATGTATCCTTGTTGCTTCATCACAAGACCCGTGAGTGCCACACACACGAGAACTACAAGGATTGCTGCAGCAGACTGGGCCCTGGCACTCACCGCTGTCCTGAAATCATTAGTCTGTATTGTTTTAGAAAAACTGTCACATGACAAAAAACAAAAATGTATCTGTGCGGACAAGTATTGGTACTTGGCCTGGCATTGGTACATCCCTTCTATATATATATATATATAAACAAAAAGTCCAAACTCGTTTTGTTTGCAGCACCTCATATTATTATTAATATTATTACATAGTATTTATATAGCGCTAACAGTTTGCGCAGCGCTTTACAATATAAGGAAGACATAACCGTTACAATCCAATTCAAGACAGGATGGTAAGGAGGGCCCTGCCCCTGAGGGCTTACAATCTAAAAGAGGAGGGGGAAATGATACATGAGGTAGCTGTGGGAATGAATTATGTGAGAATGATGTCTTTATTCTTATAACTCCAATACAACAGTTTCGGACCAACAACAGTCCATCAGGTAACGCACATTTAACAATGAATTATACACACATCTTTTAAATACATTCATTCAAGCAACGCATGTGAATACAGATATCATCCAAAATAAATATCTTTTACAAAACAGTTCATAGAAACAAAAATAGGTTTAAATCAATGTTTAATCTCTTAGAGTGTACCGTGTCAAGATCCTATGTTATATATTAGAGATGCACAGATACTTTTCGAGTACCAGTGACGATACTTGATCTTGGTATCTGTGCAACCCTTATATATATATATATATATATATATATATATATATATATGTGTGTGTGTTAAAATGTCCTTGTGGTTTATGTCACATTGGTGAAACTACGGGAGAGAGGGACTGACGGATGGACTGAGACTGACTGACTGACTGCTATACAAGTGATGGGGAAGCTGTACAGCCACCCAGATCACTTGCACATAAATGAGCGCCGACTTCCCCTGCTCTACATTTAGCCCTGCTTGCTGAAGCAAGGCTAAATGTAAAAAAAAAACCTCCTGCCTGGAACTGTATGTCGTGGGCGTCGGGCGATAGGAATTCCCCCCTGGAATTGCGGAGATTGACACGGTCCACCCTAAGGGTTTAAACATTGATATAAACCTATTTTTTTCCCAATGAACTGTGTACGATGATATACGTATTTACATGTGGTTTGTATGCATGTGTTACAGGTCCAACTGTCATGTGATAATATTGAATATGGAAGCTCGTGGATCTGTTTATTTTGTGGACAGTTTATTAAATGCATTGCTCATAGTAAAGCTTGTACTGATTATTAGATGTGATCTTTAATTAGATTCAGGCGTGATAGGTTTCCAGTTGTAACGGGTTATTTAAAAGACGTGTGTATAAATCATTGTTGGGTGTGCCTTAGCTGATGGACTGTTGTTGGTCTGAAACTGTTGTACTGGCATGTGGATTATGGAGTTCTAAGAATAAAGAAAACATGAGGAGCTGCAGACAAAACGAGTTTGGACTTTTTGTTATATATATTGGAGAGAAAGGGGTTATCTCTCACTGAAGATAGATGGTTGGTGCCCTCTACAAATGTCTTTGTGGATCTTTATATTTATATATTTTTAAACTTTATTCTATAAACTGAGTTCTATGTAAACTGTTTGTCTTTCAGGTTGATTGTGGACTGATAGTGGTGGCATATAAAGATGGATCTCCTGCACACGCACATCTTATGGACCCGGCCCTGTGCAAGTATTACTGGGACAAGTGGCTGCTACGTCTGGAAGAGTATAAAGAGAAAAAGGAGGAAACAAAATAGCAATAGAATACGTTCTCTGTGCTGGTCACATGAGAATACAATGCCATCTAGCGATGTACCAGGTCTAATGTAGAGGAAGCCATAGACATTAAATGGTCACCACCCACTTCAAACCTTCATTCACAACCTGGGTCATAGATATTGTCCTATCACTGTCTGTTGACTTCAAGGAGCTTGAAACAAACATATAAATTAGTGTTTGCAGTGCAGTTCCCAGATTCCCGCTCAAAACCTTTGAGTTTACAAAATAAGGTTGTCACCTCATGTTCATGGTCAGCTTTACACCACATTTACAATAAGGTTACAGTAGAAATTAAGATGAATGCATTAGTTTAAATGTAGTTAGTTCTCTTGTAACCATAAAGCCCCGTTCACATTGAGCGATTTATCGCGCGGTAATTCCTGCGATATCGCGGCAAATTACCGCGCGATATCGCGCTCCAATGCATTTCAATGGGGCAAAGGGTCCTGCTGTCGCGGGTCATGTGTCGCTACAGCAGGACCCTTTTTGAATAGCAGGTTTAGCCGCGATTCAAGCTTGCTCAATGCAAGCTTGAACGCGATATCGCGCGGAAAATCTCACGATGTCGCGCAATATGCAAATCGCTCGACAAATGCACAATTTGCATATCGCGCAGTGGGAACGGGGCCTAAGCTAGACCTAGAACCGTCACACGAGGTGCAGGTAATTCTACTTAACCTCCACTGAAAAGTAATAAACTGGGTAATCCCACTTGTAAACTTTTGTTGTGCCGCTGGACAAACTCTGGGTGACTTACCAGACTTAACCTCTACGGACTCGTCAACTCACACTATGTTTGGAGAACAAGTCCCCTAACCTTATTGGCTTCCTCTACATGTTTAAAAACAGACCTCAGACACAGGTTCTAATGTGACCAAAGTCACAGAGTATTTCTTTCCTAGGAGCCACTTTACTGTACATGTGCAGTTCTATAACATGGACATCTTTGTAAAACAGGTCATCCTGTTGACCTAGGAGATGGCTTCTTTATGGAAAACTATGGTAAAGTATCACACAATAGGGAGAGAGAAATGTAGGCTGACACCAAGGTATGATTGAAGCTGAGGCCAGATCTGTAGAAAGGACATAAAGGGGAAGGTGACATGCCCAGGGAGATTGATGCATACTGTATATAGGGACCCTGCTGCAGATTTGAAACGTGATTGTCTTTCATTGACACCTGCTTTGGTGGTTCATTGTTTTGAGAATCTCTGTGCCAGCTCACTGTGGTAGAAGATATCCAGTTTTAATAGCTATTCACACTATGTAACTTACCTCTACACTGGTTGTAATCGTAAGCAGGAATTCTGCAGATTCATGGCAAAGCTGGCAGATTCACACTTATGAATGTATTTGCTCAATAGCAAAAAGAAATGCAGTAAGTGGAATTGGCAGTGATTTAGCTCTGCCATACGGTGATGGCATATATACATGCCTAGTTCTGGGCAGTAATGAATGACTGAAAAATCATTCTGGAAAGTTGTTTTGAATGGAAAGGTGTGCTGTGAGAAAAATGTAGGCAGCCATTGCAGACTTCCTTTAATGCCTTGGTTCTCAACTGGTGGGTCGCGACCTCGTGTACAGTGTGTCCACTTTTCTAGGTGAGAGGCTCCTCAGCTTCCCCCCAGCGCAGCACTGTCAGTTCTCGCACCAAACAGCCATTCAGAATATGCTACCCAGCACCGAGTGTCAGCTTGGGGTGGGATTGGATGGGGCTATGGCCACGAGGGAGCTCCATCCATACATACATGCATGCATTACTTACAGCTCCCTCATGTGTCCTGTAGAGGTGCCTGGACCAGAGTAATGCACTGTACCACACAATCAAACCTACTACGAGTTCTGGTGTGGGAGGTGTGTTGTGTTGCCATTCATTCGAATGGTACCCCAAACACACCTCCCACCCACAGTTCGATCACCCGCACCGGAACGCAATGCCGTGGGGTCCATTGCAGTGGGACTTGGGTCGTGACTTGTGGGTCCTGAGGTGAGGTTACACAGGTTGAGAACCACTGCTTTAAAGCATTCAGTTGCCGGTCTCTGCCAGGACAACTATGCATCCAGTAGTCAGTATTCCGAATCATGACTGAGAAATGGCGAAGCAGGTGGATTAGCATGGCAAAAGTACTAGTAGTTTCAGCAGTTGACAAAAGCAGTCTCCATATGTCACATAACAGGTTTCAAATATGAAGCGGCTACCTTCATGTATACTGTAAGGCCCCAATCACACGAGCTGAGCGTCTTTGGGTGTTTGTGCAAGCGTTTCAGGCTTGAGCATTTTATTTTTATCTAATGGCAAGCTAGTTACTTGGCAGAGAAATGCTGTGAAAAAAAGCATGTTACTTACATTTATCAGATGCTCCTGTTCAAGGCTTTTGGGGCCAAACAATTTGAATCTGCTCTAACATAAACTCATGTCCTTTTTTTGACCTACATGCATTTTGCTACAAGTATTAGAACCCTCAGTTCTGTTTACCATAAAGGGAGCAGTTCATGTGAAGGATGTAATATGTTGTAATTGAATATTTTAATTTGACATTCCAAAAAATACCTTTCTACTGATACCCCAATTAAATGGTTTTAATCTACAGAGGCCTTTGGTTTGTTTTTTGTGCTTCTTTATTACTTCCAAAGTTTCCTCAAGTCAAACATTTACTAAAAAGGCCGAGTTCAATAAACGACTAGGGAAGGACAAAATAAACACCCAGCAATACTTTAATATCAATAAGAAGGACTTAGGGCCTGTTCACACGACGTCCGTTTATGTATGCTGACCGGCTCCGTACGCTGCTGCACTCAAAATGCATCCCTATGTGTTTTATGGCTACAGTTCTCACGTGCGCAGTCCGTTCAGCTTACGACAGAAAAAATACTGCATGTCACATTCTGTCCGGTCCGGAAACGCAACGCAATGCAGCTAAGGGGGAAAAAAAAGAAAAAATTGTATTCTTGCTCCACTTATGATGTCATCAACGTTGACAAAATTAACTGTCAGTATCCGGACCGAAAACGCATCAAAAACGCACTGCATCAGCAGCTCCACGTCTGCTGATCAGCACCTGATCTCATGTGAACAGGCCCTTAGGTCCTAATAAGGACTTGAGCTGCCATTCAGGTCAACTGTGTGTAGTCAGCTACAGCTATTCCTCACTTAACGACCGAGTTCCGTTCCTAGGACAAGGTCGTTAAGCGAGGAACTGTCTACAGTACTGTATAGTGTTGGAGATGTACTGTGCAGTGTACTGTTAATCTGTCAATACAGTACTTACCGAGACTAGCAGTGGAGAATGGAGTACAGCACTGAAGATGGTGAGACGCACTGCCGCTACCACGTTCCCGCACGTACTTTCGGAGAGCTGGTCGTAAGTGCGGGTGGTCGCAAAACAGGTAAGTCGTTAAGTAAGGAATATCTGTATTGCACCAAATTCTAGGGGGGGTATGAAAAATTTGCAGAACCATTCACGTTGCAAAACTGCATGTACATTTGTAATATCCAAATGGGGGCAAAAACTAATATTAGTATATTTTCTTTCCAGGTCAAATGTAATTCATTCACAAGATTAGAATGGTCAGAAAAATACCGCATTGTGACCCCTAGATAAGAATTCTTATTTCCTATGCGTCTCAACTCTACAATGCTGTATTTTCCTGTTATACATTCAAACAGGAACGAAAAGATACTAAGAACATGTAATGTTTGCCCCATTCACACAGAATGGATGTACATGCAGCACGAATGCCTCTGAAATTGTATATAACTAGAACCACTGGGCGTTAGGGAGATAAAGAAGTTGAAAATGTACTTTGTGCTGTTCACTAAAACTTTCCACAAAGGTTCAAGCTGGAAGGCTGGCGATATACTGCGAGTGCAGGGCCTCATGGACCTGCGTCATTCCAGCTCTCAGCACTTACAGTGTAATTATACTCTCCACCACCCTCTGTGGCAAGGACCAGTCACTGCTGCAGAAGAATAGGACCCTGAAACTAAAAATAGGGAAGGGGGGCTGGAGTGGCAATTTAAGGATCATATTGACTTATCAAGTAAAAAATCTCAAAATTACCCTATTTTTCTCTCCATAAGATGCACATAGGTTTAGGGGGAAAATGGCTGCTTTTTTTTTTTAAGTTGTGTGGCTGTGCGTGGCTCCACCGGTTATGTCATTTTTTTAAAAAAATGCGTGTGTTCGCAGGGGCTGGGGACTTTAATTTTAGGGGGACTTTTTAATTGTAGTTTATTTAACGTTTTTTCTCTATTTTTTTTATATTTTAACTTTATTTTTAGTTTCATTTTTTAAAGTTTTTTTTTTGCTTCATTGCTGGGAGCAATAGCCAGCCTGCTATTGGATATTTCAAATTGCAATAGCCAATAATAGGCTGGCTACTGCACCCGCCCACTGCCTGCTGTCAATCAGCAGAGGAGGGACCTGATGTTCTCCAACAGGTCCACCTCTGTTGATTGACAGCAGGCGGGTGCAATAGCCAGCCTGTTATTGGCTACTGCAATTTAAAAGAGCCAATAACAGGCTGGCTATTGCGGTCAGCTACTGGAATGGAAAGCGATCGCGCGGACAGGAGAGGAGGGCGGACGCCGCGGAGGGGTGAGTAGACAGCACGGGGGAAAGCTCACAGACTGTCGGAGGTTTCGCCTTACAGTCTGTAATCGGCTGCCTGTCTCTCTGGCACAGATCGCTGCAGCCGATTACAGACTGTAGGGAGAAACCGCTGACACACACTCTGCTGAACGTGTGTGCGACAGCTGGGGGGGAATATTCGCTCCATAAGACGCACAGACATTTTTGCCCACCTTTTGGGGGGGGAAAAAGTGCGTCTTATGGATCGAAAAATACGGTAAGTATTGTGTATCTGTAAAAACAAGTCAAGGCAACTGACTTAAGTTGCCTTGACTTATTTCTACAGATATACCATGACCTGGATGAATGAGAACCTTCGCAGACTTAAGTATTGTGTATTTCCAAAATTGTTTAATACAAATATGTCCAATCTGCCAAAT